AAGCAGCGAGGTCTGTATCAAAACAAGGTCAACTCCAGCCTCGCTGCCATCCAAAGGCCAGGTCACTGAGCAGACAACTGTAAAATGGTCTATTGTTAAATACAAATATAAATTAAATAATCAAATAAATTGTGTTAACTCGTAGAATTCTAACTCAACATCTGTCAACTAATGATTTCCAATTATTTTTCTACAAACTAATAATAATTTACAGCTCTCGTTCCAGCAAAATCACACTCCAAAGAGTTTATGGAAGTTTAGCATCCACGTGCAACATATATGCAAATTGGATGGAGCCCCTTGGTGTTAGTTTTAGCACCTTTTATTCTTTTAGAATCTTTTAGCACCTTAGGTATTGCCTGAAAGGATTTCTGAGAGGTTGAAAATTTGTTTTATAAGTTGTAATCGCTACCAAACGTCAGTCTTGAAGCCTTGCTGTTCAAAGCAACGGCGAGCACGTGCGAGACGTATTAAAGAATTTGAATTTCCCGCTGTATAAATTATAAAAGGGCAGCACAATATAGTAGCTTACTTAAGCAATAACAAGCTCAAAAAACTAGAAGAAAAACGTATTTTCGAAAACAGCAGCTTTTCAATTTGTGCCTAAGCTTACCTTTAGTAAGAGTTTTGCTGTTGTTACTAAGCAGTACTGTGCGTCAGAACGGTGTAACATGTCCTCTTCATTTCGCTGTTCTGCAACCACCAAAACCATTTTCCTTGCTCTCAAATCCATCCAGAAGAGGAAAAATATGCTTAAACAGGCAAGACATACCATAGGTGGCGTATTAATTGTACCTTTGGTACCAAAATAAGTTTATAATCCTCCTCAAAACTGCGAACTCCCACCGCCATGTTGGATTTTCTTTCGTTACCAGTTTCTTTCGCGTCACGAAAAGTGCTCGCGGGGAAGACGGTTTTTCGCGGGTACGTTGCGTGGGATCACGTTTTTCATGTACCAGGACAAAAGCGAAGACCGTGAACAGAACAACCGTGACGCCAAAATTAAAAGGAAAATCTTCTCCGAATCAAATGCGCTTAATAACACGTCACGCAAGGAAGACCTTGGGAACCTCCTGAACACGGACCTAGTAAGACTAGCTAAGACTATGAAGGAATCGTATCAGTAAATGTTGACTAACGAAAACAGTGAGAATCACAGTGCAGAGTCAATTCAAATTATCAGAATCACATGGCTGAGTTGAAGACAAAGCCCTGAATTGTAAACACAACAGCAAGGACCATTTCTACACTTTTAAGAATATAACAGGAAGCAAACAGGAGTCATACGGCTTTTCAAAAATGCACCGGACAACCTAGCATTGTTCAGATCTTTCTACTGGGTTTGCAATTTAAAACAATTAGACTAGGAGCAGAAGCATATCATCTAGGTGATATGCTTTTGACTAGGAGCTAATGTTTTTTGCGGGCGACTAGGCAACGAGGCACTGGCAAGTAGACTTTATCTATAACTTGCACGCAATCATCTGGGTGAGGAAGGCTTTGCCATTGATGACAGAACCATGCAATCAAATTCGCGGCTTTCCAACTGAATTAAACATGGTGAGTGTATAGTTGTGTTAATGTATGCCGTGCCTGGAAATGTCGAGGTTTCTTTGCTTTGCAGGTAAACGAATGCTTTCATAATCTCGATTTAGGTTGTCTTAAATGTGGAAACAGAACTGAGTCCGTAGTTTCATTGCGATTTTATTGTCTTATGCCAATGAAGTTATTTATTTAACAATTATTCACCGAAGTGGAGGTAAATATCCATCACTTTCACKGACACTGAGGTGAATAATTGTTTTAGTATATACCACACAAGCTGAATAATTAGCGGACCAAAACGTTATTTTATGTGTGACAAGCGGTCAGAAATTTTAAAATCTCTCGCGCCGGCTGTTCGGAGGTGAATAGTACTTGCTAATCACCCCCCGAGTTAACCAATCAGAGCGCGCGAAAAGCACTATTCACTTGTGCGGTATATACTAAAATACTTATATTTCAAGACCTCTGATTGGCCAGACGGCGTGTTGCTAAATAAATTAAAATTCCATCAACTGAAAGTTTAGATTTTGTTAATGATTTGAAAACGATTAACACCTTTAATAGGTGTTTTTGCTCCAAAACTTTTGTCTCTTTTTCATTTGCATTAGCAGGGGTAAATAAAGTAATGTATGTATGCATGTACTACTATGTTCCACGAAATAAGCAAAGATTTACTAAGCTAGTTTCTGTAAACATCATACCCTTCCACAACTAAGTATTATTTGGATCTGGATACGATGCGGTATGAACAAATAGAAAGAATTCTCGAGACCTTGAAATACCTTCACATGATAAATATTTCACGCGAAGTTGATAAAAGATTCTATGAATGCTATCTTTTAAGAGTTCTTTTATTGTTATAGGTGTTATAAATTGTTCGGAACACAATTGTTTGGACCACGTTTTAGTGACAAAAATCTTATCTTGTCTTACAATTTGTTAGTAAGGAAATATTTCATTGCTTAGCAGTAGTCGCCAAAGGGAAGTGTTTCAGTCACGAACACGGAGAGATGGAGAAACGATTCATGATGAAAGCAAAAGTTCTGCTTAGTGCCGTCCTGTTTTTAAGACTTCTTCAATCAGGTAACGAATTATTGAAAGCGAGTGTAACGCAATACATGAACTCTAAAATTTCATTTTAAACGAGTGTCTTTAAAGCTTGGCCTTGCAGCAGTTCAATTAGTGATTAGCTGGATGGGAGAAGAGTACGTTGTTGATCTTGAAATAAAATGCTTAGTTTCTTAGTTTTAACGTAAATAAAAATGAAAACAACGAAATGAAAATGATTTCAACAGTTTTGTAACTATATTAATTTCACATTTTTTTTAACAAACGCTCCATTGCTGTAACATATTCACTTTGACCGGTTTATGAACATGGTTGTCCTATACGTCTTAATTTAAAAAAAAAAAAAAAAGCGAACTTGACCAAGCCCTGCTATAAATTCTCAAGACTGGTCAGTTAAGCGATAAATGAGTCATTTTCGAAAGAGTCAGGAAATTATAATCATAACGTGTTTTCTACGGCATTTTCGAGCATATATTCACCAACTTCTCTGCCGATCCCATACGCCTGGTATAGTTCAAGTTTTTCGCGTTTAACACTGCCCATAAGTGTATGCACTGTATACAATTTCGTGCTTCGGAACAGTGTCAGCAGATCGAGTCTCCTAATTGAACGATTTGTTTTCATGATGTAGCATTGCATCTCCCGTTTATTTCACAAGATCTTTTTTGTCACACACTGACTAAAGCCTGAGCAAAGCCAGAACCTCGAATTTAATTTGTCGTTCTCTCTTTCTGTATGACTTTCTCTTCCTTGGAAGTTCTGATTTTTATTCTTGTCATATACCTTAAAACAAAAATTTGGTAGTGCACCTTGCCAGGGTAGTGCTGATAGCTTAGGCTTTTGTACCAACAGCAGTTTTCAACAATAATGATTTTCTTTTGCTTTCTTGCAGTTTTCAGCGAGGGACATCAAAGACTACGAAGGTCGAGCAATGTAAGAAAGTGCCTTATTTGTGAACATTTGGTTCTTCATTGGCTGATAATAACGTCTTTTGCCTTTCAATTACGCTAGCTGTGAATGAAAAATGTCCTTGGAGCGGGGCCGATTTTCTGCTCATCCGGCTCTTGTACGGCTTAGATCTACTCTCATAATCACATACTATTCTGTACATTTTTTGTTTTAGGAAGATCCTCAACTTGAGATGACAGTCACTCATTCCCTCAACAACAGTATAATTATGACGCACGGGTTAGTCCAAGAATGCGTGGCATATGAGATTGTAGCGATGCTAGTTAATTTATGAAATCATCTTTAGACTTGTTGCCCAGTTCTTCTTGCCCTGCATGGATCTTTTCGTGGAGAATGAAAGTGAGTGTAAAGCTGCTTGCGCTGTCCACGTGAGCAAAATCTGCGTCTCGCGATTGGCTATTTCTAGACTCTCCGGGGATTTCCGAGACCGAGAGTGACCTAAAAATAACTTGATAGGGATTAGTTGGGAGTATTATATGGAGGATTAACTCTCTCACCCTTTATTCTCTCTTGTCCTAATACGTATCGTTGTTGATCAAGCGTGAGATCAAGATGGCCGGACATTGGCTAAGCGTTTTTGTTTTTGTGTGTTTATGAACCGAGATGAAGTTATGGTGAGGGTGAGCAACGAGAGCGAGCACGATCAAGGACCTGGGATCGAGTCAATTTTAATCCTTTATAAGATTTCGCAATATGACGTCGGGTGTAAAAATTGCTTGAAATCAGAACTAAGCTAGAACGAAAGTTTGAAACTCTTTCACTCTGTTTTTTCCATAGGTCAGAATGTGAATACGGCTTCACCGTGAAACACTCATCTCAGTCCCTGGCACACGCACGCGGTGTTCACGTGACATGGATGCTGACGCCATTTATCAAGATCAGCGAAGTCACGCCATCTTTAATGATAGGATCTTTTAGAATTGATCAGAAAGGAGATAGCGTGACATTCATGGTAAGGACATTTCATTGGACGCTTTTTTGACTCAAAAATATCGCAACATTGATAGCAAAGTCACCCAAAAATACCGCCTGCGTAGCAGGCGGAATTCCTCTTGTAATTGCTTTGTTTCAGCGGCAGAACCGCGGACGCTTAGGCGAGGCCGCGAGGGAATTTTTGCAAGAGGAAAAGGACTTGTTTGTTAGATATTACATTGCTGCCAAATTTCTAAGGGAATATACTTCACCACTTCTTGGGGTTACAGTTAATGTGACTATGATGAGTTTAACTTCAATCTCGTTTCAACTTTTTGCTTTTTTAGATTGATCAAATTCAATCGTCGGAAGAAGTTACTTTTAACTTCAGTGTCATATTTGACAGCGAAAACTCACTGAAGACTGGCAGGCATCATATTGTGACTCCAGTACAACTGTTGTACTACAAGGAATACAGCAAAGATGGTGACGTGATAACCAAGGGAGCGCCCTTCTCCAGTCCTCTGCAGACAGTTGCTATTGACATCGAGATACCAGGTGGGAATGTTGATTTGAATATTGCGTCAATATTATAACAGCACAGTTCATCAGTATCACAACTATAGCAGCAATAAGATTTAGAGCGGTTTTCAATTGAGTATCCGGCGTAAAACCAAAACTGACCAATCACAAAGGACGCAGAAAATCCATCGAAGCAATCAAAAAACAAAGCAAATGCATGTAATATACTTAGCTGACGCCAAGCGCAGGAAAACGTGAGCGAGTCGAGTGACGATTGGTTTTTGTTTTACTTCTGATTGGACGACAAAGTGGCGTGGGCATTTTAAGCCAATCACGTAACGTAGTACGGCAAAACACAAACCAAACGTGAGTCACATTTGACTCTCAAGTGAAAACCATCCTAAACCCAGTCCAGACGGGAAATGTTTGGCCACCAAACACGATCAAACATTGTTTGGTGACTAAACATGTTGAAGTTGTACTGAGTGGCCAAACGGTATCAAACATGTTTGATCACCGTCCAAACCGTCCAACGTTGGATAAAATGTTTGTCGACTTTCATATCTTATCAAACACGATCAAACACTATTAGACACGATCGAACAAGATGTCCAAACGGAAAAATGTTTGGTCTCCAAACAATGTTTGATCTTGTTTGGTTGCCAAACATTTCCCGTTTGGTCGGGAACTAACACGACGACTAACTTGGGGCAAAATGTTGTTTTCAGGATGTTCCTCCGCTCTAGGAATGGCGTCTGGCGAAATCAAAGATTATCAACTGACAGCGTCTTCTAGGTATTCAGATTCACAGCCATATCAAGCGCGACCAAGTAAGCACGAAGAGATCCTGATGTCGTAATGAAACGAAAATGCGAAAGCTTTGAATTGTTAGTTCTAACAGGTATAATGGTACTCATGAGATTACATGTATGAGATTGTAGTAAAAACAGACCATTTCTACTAAACTCTAATAACTTATCTTCAATTTTACTGCGCTATATATTGTTGGCTTGTTTTTTCCTCGGGACCTCTGTTATGCTTTTGTTACTTATCGTGGGC